AGGAAAAGAAAAATGAATACAGGTTCATTTACTAACAATATATATGAATTTCTACCAGAATCCTCCTCAACATTTTTAATGAAGGAAAAAAAACTTGACAGCGTTCATTTACACTGAATAAGTCATCTGCTCACCTGTTGGCCCCATGCGTTCTTCAGGGCCTGGAATTTCTCCACGTTGCCTGCATTAAATGCGAAGAGCGTGTCTATCAGCCACTGTTTATCTGTGTTCCTCAGTGACTCCAGGACAGGGTGCATCAGCTTTAAATATCAAACTCATGTTGTTAGAGCAAACAAATCCATCAAGACAAGCAGCTTCCAATGAAGGAGACATAGAACAGTAGTACAATGCAGTTTTTTAAATTAAAATTAAAGCTAAAACTGTTAAAAAAAATGCATTAATTGAAAAAGCTGAAATAAATTAAACTATACATTTTACATAAATTAAAAATGAGAATGGTTGCATTTACAACTAACTAATATAAAATCTGTAAATTAAAGGAGAGTCAATATAATTAGCTAAAAATTAATTATGTTGACTTGGAAATCGAGCACTAAAATAATTAACTAGAAATAAATAAACAGTAAAAAAAAAAAAATTAAAACTACATAGCAAATTTATATATAAAATAAAAAATAGAATAAAATGACAAAAGCACAAATTTAATTCAAAATATGAAACTATAATAAAGCTAAAAAACTATATTACAATCACTGACACAATAATACCAAACTAACACTGTACAATGACAGGCACTAACCAGTTCTCCAAAGTTGTACACCCCCTCTCCGAGCAAGCCGGCCAGACCTAATGTGAAAGCTCTTTCTTGTTGCTCAGCTTCTGTGGTGAGAAAAACACAAAGCTGGAGTGAGCATTAAACCACAATCCCAACTGCATTAGCATGTTCTCATATTTTCACCTGAAATTATGCAGATCCAATTGGCTTTATGCCCAGCTGCACTACTTCCTGAACTTCAGCCAGCTCCTTGTTTCCTGTCTGCCATTATTGGCCAAATTGATTAATTTAGGTGTGTCTGATTATTGTTGCCATGACTACTGAGGTCAGGTACACCTGAATTAATCAATTTGGCCAATAACAGCAGACAGGAAACAAGGAGCTGGCTGAAGTTCAGGAAGTAGTGCAGCTGGGCATAAAGCCCATTGTAATGATTAATGTAGATATGGTGAGCCAACACTAGAGGGTGCTGTTTTAAGTTTCTCATCAAATGTAAACACCATGCAGAAGTCAGAGTACTTACCAGGCAAGTCTTTAGCTTCCACACATCCCAAGTACCGCAGGGCATCCTTGTAGTACAAAGCGTGGTTCCCAATGATGCGGTAATATTTGCTCGACAGATCGTAAAATCGCCCATGCACTGATGTCACACCCGGGAGATTGTTCAGCATCTCTTCCACTTCCTCTATTAATTTCTGCAAAATGATTATTAATAAGTAAAATAAGAATAACAGTCTAAAATACAATTGTCACTCTTGCCAATTTGTGAATAGTTCACCTTGCAATTAAATTTTGATGTGGGATGTAGTTTTGTAAGTTTTAAAGGGGTGGTTGATTGCGATTTCACTTTTTTCATTTTAAATAGTGTGTATTGTTGCTGTTGGTGCATGAAGAGTATCTGGAAAGTTGCAGCGCTTAAAGTTCAATGTAAGCAGAGATATCGTCTTTTAAAAATCGGGTAGTTTAATGCCTACAAAAACGACTCGTTTGGGACTACAGCTGGGTTTCAGACGTCACTAACCCATATATTTACATCATCCCTCCCTCCGGAATATGCAAAAAAGGGCATTGCCATATTTCTGAGGCTCGTCAAGTGTGTTGTGTTCACCCAGCTGTCAGGTCTTCTGTGTTCGGGTTTCCCACGGACGCTGTCCTTCGTCAACAATGGATACACTTTATGTTTGATTATGCTCCTGAAAATGACGATCGTAATTTAGCTCTCTGCTGCTCATTTTATGGAAGACAGCTTCCAGAATCTCCACGAGTTCAACACTGGATTCAACAAAAAACTGTTACTAAAACATGAAGCAGTTCCAACTTTAAAACCAGAGGCAGCAGTTGTTGGGCCACAACCTGTAAGTAGGCTAAGACTTCATCATTTTAAATGTATTTGCATGTATAATTTCAGATGTAGCCTGGTGTTTTAGTATTATCAAATGCCAGCGCTGGCTTTATAGCCACTATAGGCTACTAGTTATGCTATTTTGTGTCTACAACAAACACGTACAAACATTATGGACCTGAATTTTGTATAAGTACTACTGTTATAAATGTATTTTTCATGTATATATACTTTATGACGTTATTTTTCGATTTGATCAAGAACGTAAACCAATGTCAACGCTGTTTGTGTATATAGTAACGTTAGCCAGTCAGTTCGATGCTATTGTGTATAGTAACGTTAGCCAGTCAGTTTGATGCCTTTGTGTAAAACAAACGTTTATAAAGTAAAAAAATATAGGCAAATTACCATTCATAAACGTTTAGTAAGAGCCGTGTGTGGTGAGGTTCTGCTTGCCTCTCTTCATCGCCGCTATCTGGGTCTGATTCTGGCTCATATTGATACTGCAGTATCGACACCATTATTTACATTGGACCGGAGCAAATCATTTACATTCGCCCGTAAAGGAAATGGGCGTGAACCTTCCGGACAACGTGTACTACAGTTTAGCCAATCACAACACACCTCCCCAAACTAACCAATCTGAGCCCACTGCCTGTTTCTGAGGGAGTGGTTTCATAGAATCAGGAAGTCAACCAGTCGTTCAAATGTCAGAGGAGAGCGCGGCTGACAATAAAGTTGAAATTTATGAAAAATAAGGCTTTAAAAAAAGAAAAACCATGAATACATGTTATATTGCACCCCATAAACACAATCATGCAAAAAAAAAAAAAAGCAGTAAACCACCCCTTTAAAAACATTTTCAATAAGGAGTCCTCAATGTCTAAGTGTGGTGATGTTATGAATTTAGGGAAGGCAAATTAATTGTCGGCCCTAATATTAATTTGATAATAATACCAGCCTGTTAAAAATACATTAACGGGAAAACAAGCCAATTATCGTCTTGATATCATCAGAGGCATCAGCCATTGGCGATATCATCAGTCGGCACAACCCTATTAAAAAGGTCCACTGAAATAGTATTTTGATGTCACTTCAAAACCAAGCAGTTGAATCTGTGTGACCAACTTGAACCCGTTGTGGTCACATACTAGATTTCTATTGAAATGGCAGGAGTGTCCGCCTTAAGAAAATAAATATGTGCTATTATGACCTTTGTGGCTGGGAGATCGCTGATGTCGAGCTTGAGGCTTCCAACTGAGGTTTTGCAGAGGATGACGGCCTCATCACTGGACTTGACCTGAAAGTAAAATGACAACGATTTCAATATGTTGCCAATTACAGTATAAACTCAGAGCTGAAACACAGAACAACCCACTACCTTCTCCTTTGTTTTCTCAAGAAAGGTGATGGCTGTGTTTGGATCTGTTTAAAAACAAGACATATCTTATTAATATTACACTCTCTATAGGCTTTGCGATGGAGGTCAGCAAACAACAATCCTGGAAAAAAATTATGTACCTGTCATGTGTTTTGCAACATGAAGGATGATTTCTACTAAGGACAATGGGTTGATTCTGTCAAGAAAAAAAAAAAGAGATTCATTTACGTTTAATTAAATTGCAATAAATAGTTTTCCACAAGCATCACAATAAGCCAAAGTTCCAAAGTGATCTACTGCTTTATTATTACCAAATGGAAAATTCGTTTTTCACATGCATGGGGAAATCTCATCAGAAATGCTTCTTACCTGTGTTCAAAATCACTGAGGAAGTTTTCATAGAGCTGTGGGAAGCAAATGAGACTTATGAAAGGTTTCACCTGACATTTCTGAAGTGTGTAAATGCAGCTGAATTCTGATCTGATACCTGAATGAGTCCATCCCCTTTGGCGAAATACGGGTCCTGCACAAAGTCTGTCAGCTTCAGAGTCAACTGGTGCCACAATCTGTCAAAGAGAAGTTGATCTGACGTTTAAATTACTCTCAAAATGTGGATTTCATCGATCTATCCAATTCCACTGAAGGGCTGATATACTTAAGCACTCAAGCAGTCATTGATTTGATACCCATGATTTGCATCCTTTAAATGAATAAATCATGGTTTTAGCAGTGTATAAACGGTCTACTTCATCATGTTGTAAACCTTCAATAAAACGTATCTCATGTGAAACACTTGAAAACAACAAAAGTGTCATGTAACAAATATCTCACTTCAGCAATGACTTGCTAGCCACTAGAACTCATTTACAATAATTAACGTTACCTACATCAACAAATATAAAACTATTACGCTAATAGACGGCCAACACGGTCTTTAAAAACACTATTCAAAGTGGACAAAGTAGTTTATTATTATCCATGGTACAAGTAACCATTAGCTTAGCATGCTAAATGACTCAGCTAGCCAAGATTCAGACACTGAACAGACATCATTCTTACTTTCTGTTATAAAAATCTTCCAGTGTGTGCCACTCCGCGGCCATCTCGGGCGTCGGGCTCTTGCTCTGCTGTTGTTTGAGGTATCCGATGACATCTTTCATCTTGAACGTTGATCTTTGTCTGTGTTTGAGTGATACAAATTGAAGCTCTCGCCTCTGTCTATGGAATAAATCTGCACTAATAAAATGAATGCACGCTGAGGTGAACAATGCGCTACCGCCACCTAGAGCAGCGGAGGATATATATATATATATATATATATATATATATATATAGCTTTGTTTGTGAAACTTTTATAATAAAAAATTATACAAATCTCTCTCCATATATATATGATACCTTTGCATATAATATGATGATATTAAGATTATATATATATATATATATATATAATATGCAACAACAATAATATTAAAATATATAAATATAAAATGTAATTATCAATTCTAGTCTGTGTATAAAACATTTCAAATGAGACAATGACAAATTCAGCTCTTTTATTATCGTCTCACAATAAATTTCTTTTAACATGTGATACAAATCATACAACATTCCCTTCAGTCTTTCATACACAACTACACAGGCCACCAATAACAATATACAGCAATTCATCCCTTTACCACAAAGAACAAATTAAAAGTTGATTACAGGAGGGCTTTATATGCTCATGTCCCAAAAAAGTTGAACCGTTTTTTTCCTCATAAAATATAATAAACTATCTATGTATCATAACTTTAAAAATGCTCCTGCTCAGCTCATACTAAAACCAAATAAATAAATAAATATCAGTGCTCCATCAATCTCATCATTTTTCACATTGACATTTTAAATGAAAACTAATATCTGTGCTCCCGTGATGTGTAACAAGTTAGAGTTCCATTCAATTAATTCTGTAATATTAGTAAACTAACACTGTGTAAACAAACCATGTTTTCACTGTCATTGTACAGAAAATATTACCTAAAGACAGGCCAACACAATAAACCTCAAATGAAATGTCAAAATAACATTCACCAGATGTTTTCCTTAAGAGTAAAAACCAAGCATTTAAATCCTAAAGTGTCAAAAGATTCAATTCCATAATATAATTCATCAAAAACGTTCGTTTTTGATTACAATTTGATAAGTGATTCTATCCGTCCTGTTAAAAGACTCGGATTAGTTCGAGTCGCTGTCACTGTCAGAATTATTGGACTCTCCGAACTGTTGGCGGGCTAAAAAACGAAGCTCTTGTGGTTCCACTGAAGTCATTTTACCATCGGCTCCAATTTTCATCGGCTGGATCACCTGCTCCCTGAAAGAACAGCATGTTTGCAATTACTTAACTGTGGACGTCATACTATTTAAAAAAAAAAAAAGAACACATTGAAAATTTGGGGTTTTATGACATCGCTTTATTACCTAGAGAGTTTGTCGAACATGTTGACCAGTTTCATGGCTTCGTATTCCTTCTGTTCTTCGGTCATTCCCTCCATAGGGTTGGGCTGCTCCTCCTCCACACGGCCAGTCACTGGATTGATACTGTACAACATAAACAAAATAAAAAACACAAATCTTTTCTAACCATTATGGTCATTCTTATATCGGACAGTGTTGTTCATGACATACTGAGGTTTTGCCTCTCTGTACTCCTCAGTATCGCTGTCCTCATCTTCAGAGTAAAGTCCAGGATCTCGACCACCTCTCATCAGCCCTCGAGCGGCCAGGAGTCCCGCCGCGTTACCGTAACCCGTGTACTTAATAAACCTGGAAACTGATTCACAGTGGAACAAATGCCTATCATTATTTCTCTTCGACTTCAAAATAAATCCCTAAATCCACTACCGTTCAAATACAGTAGTCAACATTTGAAGTGGATCAAAAAATTTCATCAATGTTCTCCTAAGATTGTCAGAGTGTCTGGTTTGTGTTCCCCCGAGTGTCCACTAGAGGTCTTTTTCCTTTCCTGCCACCATTCAGTCTGGAACTGAATTTCCCATAATCCTTTTTTTTGTTCCCATCACTCACGATTGCACTCAGCTGTTCCCTATCACATTGTTAGTGTCTGTGAATAAAAACCCTGTCTGTTTTAGTTCATGCCACGGAGTCATTGTTGTATGTCACGCTATTCTTCTGAGGTCTGTTTCAAGTCGGTTTTCGTTTTGTTTCAAGTCGGTTTTTGTTTCTGATATCTGATAAGTCGGTTTTCTTTTTGTTTCAAGTTGGTTTTCGTTTTGTTTCAAATCGGTTTTCGTTTTGTTTCAAGTCAGTTTTCATTTTGTTTCAAGTCGGTTTTGTTTCAAGTTGGCTTTCGTTTTGTTTCAAGTCGGTTTTCGTTTTGTTTCAAGTCGATTTTGTTTCAAGTTGGTTTTCGTTTCTGATATCTGATAAGTCGGTTTTCGTTTTGTTTCAAGTCGGTTTGGTTTCAAGTCGGTTTTCGTTTTGTCTCAAGCCGGTTTTCATTTTGTCTCAAGTCGGTTTTCGTTTTGTCTCAAGTCGGTTTTTGTTTTGTTTCAAGTCGGTTTTCTGATATCTGATAAGTCGGTTTTCTGTTTTGTTTCAAGTCCTATTTTGTTTTGTTTCAAGTCGGTTTGTGTTTTGTTTCAAGTCGGTTTTCGTTTTGTTTCAAGTCGGTTTTGTTTCAAGTCGATTTTTGTTTTGTCTCTGGTCGGTTTTTGTTTTGTTTCAAGTCAGTTTTCGTTTTGTCTCAAGCCAGTTTTCGTTTTGTCTCAAGTCGGTTTTTGTTTTGTCTCAAGGCGGTTTTCATTTAGTTTCAAGTCGGTTTTTGTTTTGTTTCAAGTCGGTTTTCATTTTGTTTCTTGTTTTTGGACTGCTTTGTTTGATTTTGACCCTTGCCTGGCTGATTACAGTTTTGGATTGCCCTTAAATAAACTACTGCTATTGGATTCTGTCATCCTGTGTGTGTGCATCGTGACAAAGACAAGAACAGGTTATGTTCAAAATTCATGTATAGCTTTGATGAAAGGTTTTGATCCAAATGTTGACTGCTGTATATATCAGGATCAAAAGAACCAAGAGAACCAAACTACAAGTGTGAACACACGCTTAGTGTCCTTGTAATGATATTGTAGTATTTGACGCACCACTCTCCTTGCACAGGACAAACAGGAACTCGGCTGCACAGTGCTTCACGTCCGTGTCTATGTGCGTCATTAGACGCACTATCTTGTTCCGTAAAGCGTTACCGACCTCAGGTCTGTTTTTGACATCTCGTAATGGGGGAAGCACCTGCATAGACACACACACATTCTCCATCATGACCAAAATGAAAATAGGCCACATTTACTAAACAGGGAAAATTACCATATTACTCTACGAAGAGTAACGTAAATTAGCGTCTAGTTTAAGACATGTTTTTTTTTTTAGGAGAATAACGGTGAAGATACTAGTCAATTGATCAGCGAAACCTTGGTAAATCACCTTGCATGATTCATTTAAATACTCTCTTTGCATTAATTTTGCATCTGAAAGGGAAACTCTTACAAATGCAATAAGTTAAAATAAGAAAAATAACCTGTCCACTCCTTTTCAGCACACATTTTTCACTGCGCGACTTTAGTAAACCCTGACAGTAGTTTTTAACGCATAAAGCGAGTTTAAGCTGTAAGTAAACCTGACCAATGTCTCAATGAAGTTCACAATCTCACCTTCATTCGTAAAAACTTCCTGGTCTCTCTGTGGATGCGAGAGCTCTCGGTTAGTAGATTTAATGAGGGCAGCAGGGTTTCCTTTAGCTTGTTTCCCTGGAAATACAACATCAACAGGTGGAGGAGTTCAATTGTTTAACACTGGAGCACCAGCTGTGTCTTGGTCTAGAAATCCCTCAAAGTGTTCCCATCGCACCCAGCACAAAAACAACAACAAACAGCGAAGGAGTTTCACCTAACCAGGTATGACAGCAAAATGCAAGTCAAGTAAAGTCTCATTTATCGCTATAGCGCTTTTCTCAATAGGCGCTGTTTTAAAGCAGCTTTACAGAAAACATATAACATCTTAAAGGGATAGTTCACTTTGAAATTCATTTTTGGTATGTTTTAGCTTACCTCAAGGGCATCCAAGATGTAGGTGTCTTTGTTTCCGCAGATTAAATGCAAATGTAATACATAACTAAGTAGGATTTTTCATTTGCAACAATCACTCAGATTAACATTGAAGAAATGGGATTTATCACTCAATGTCTTATTTTGTCAAGTCTGCTGATGAACATTAAACTGCTTTTAATATGTTTGAACCTTTTTAAAGATGCTTTAATAAAAGATTAGCAGAATACTTGTTCAGGTGCTCACCCGGTCGAGTCTTTTCTCCATAAACTCCAGCAGCACCATAACAGCGTCCATGTTGACGCCCATGTACTCGATAGAGCCCTGCTGGACTTTAGGCATCAGCAAAACGTCAAGACACGGAAGCGGCAGGTTTCCCAGCAGGTTCACCGTGTGGCTGTAATACAAATTCAGATTTAGTTTCCTTTTACAAATTGACTAATTAGTTGGGACTGAGGTCCCTGAGGATCTGCTCTAATTTGTTACAAACCAGAGCAAGACACATGAGAATCTGTGCCAGTGTGTCAATGTGTCAAACAACTTTACTTGATTCAGTTTTGTTTTATTGCATTATTCAGAACCTGTAAACTTGCTTCCATAAACCTTTCTGCATCTAGATCTGCCCTGCTGTGTGTGTGTGTGGTCCTGGTCAATCCTATGTTATGGGGATACAATGTCCCAACAAAATGCCAATACCAGAAGTCTTGGACCTTGTGGAAAGATTTTTTGGACCCCATGAGGAAAGCAGTTTATAAATCATGTGAAGGTTGTGTTTTTGGTGAAGTTAGGGAATATAAGATACAGTTTGCACAGTATAAAAATAATTATGTCTATGGAAAGTCCGCACAAAACATTGAAACCCAACATGTGTGTGTGCAAGGGCACCTGTGCATCTCTTCTGTGCGCTCCTCTCCCTCTGAGCTGCTCATGATGCAGTGTCTCAGTATGGCTCCCAGGTGTCTGTAAGTGGCTGCTTCTTCCTGCATCACACACACACACAATGCTAATTAAACAGTGTTATTTACACTGAGAGAGCAGATCTAATTGCTACTGTTATGTAATGCTTATTCAGCAACTTGTGAGGATGAAATTTGATATTTACATGCTTTTTTAAATATTATGAGAACATTTAAATTTATTTTCTTTTTACAATAGTATGAGGCAAGCATCACAAAATAACATTATTACATCAAATAACAAAATAAGATGCACAATATATCAGTATTTGCTTTTTAATTATTTTATATCTGTCTCAAAATGCAGAAGCATCACCTTATTTTTTATCTTCGCTAGTCTTAATTTCTATTACACAGTCACATGTTTTGATGGCTGATTTCACTTGAAACTTTTGTTTGAGTTTGTGTGAAATGTACTTTTTTTAAATTGACAAAGTATAGATTTAATAGTCATCAATATGATGTATTCTAAAACATTTTGTAATGTTATATATATATATATATATATATTTCACAGAATAAATTTTTTTGTATTGGGTTGCATTATTTTCCATGAGAATATCCTGAAAATGTTTTGAATTATTCAATTATTTTACTGTAATATATTAGTAATACTTTTAACTCTATTGCCATAAAATAGGAAAAATACATTGTTATCTTTAAAGAATATACTGTGTGTATGTTCTGTATATTATATTTTTAAATATACACAGTATATTTTTCTTTCTTTCTTTAGGCTTTGGTGTGAAATATGGCTGAACAAGTTCTTTGCAGGTTTCGTGAGACTCCTTCCATTGAAATTGGCCAAAGTTTCTATTGCTGCATATAATAAGGGCACTAAAATTTAGAAAACAGCAGCATTGTCAGTTTGACTACATACTGTTTCCTGACACAATTAAATATGGCAGCAAACCCAGTCTCACCTCGTCCACCGTGCGGCGGTTGGAATCAAAAGTGACGTTAAAGAGGATCTTCAGGATCTCCATGGCTCGCTCGGTCTCCTGCCTGCCCAGCAGGGGCAGCTCTGAGCAGCCGTCGAATCCCGCACGGGCCACCTCGTACATGTCGGGCCAGCAGAGGCCAAGCGTGGCATCCAGAGCCTCCGACAGCAGGCTAACACCCCGCAGCTCGCGTGCCAGTTGGGCTCTCACGTCCACGCGCAGGGCCGTGATCAAAAACGTGAGGCGCAGGTCGAAGAATCGCACCTCGTGGTTCCACTGCGGCTCGCGGCATTGCTTAAGCCTCTCGGCCAATCCCACGATCAGCTGGAGCTCCGCCCCCGCCTCCTGTGCAGAACCGCTGTTGAACACGATGTTGCACAAGCACTTCAGGGCCTCCACGATCACCTCCAGGTCCGGGATCTCAGGCGTGACGCCCTCACCCTGCCCGAGGCCGGCGAGTCGGATCAGGATCTGCATGGCGTGGCGGGTGGCGAAGGGAGCCAAGCTCTTCTTGTCACGGGACAGGATGCGGATGGTTTCCAGACAGGCCAGCTGACAGGACGGCTGGAGGTCTCTCTCCAGGAAGCCCAACACTAACTCACCCAGACGCTGAGAAGAGAGAGAGAAAGAGAGAGAGAGAGAGTGTGTAAACTGCAGCAATTATCGACACCATCACCTTACGGGCCAGCGGTTCTCAACTGGTTTTCTTTAAAAACACAGATTTTACACTGTACAGTATCAAAATTGTTTAACCAAAGTTATCACTACTTCAAAATGACTTTTAAAAAATGAAATATAAAGAGTATAATAATATAAAACTACAATATTAATTCAAAAACTATTAAAAAATATAAAACACACATTACAGTTCAATAGTCTCTTGTGCTCACCAATTTATTTATTTATTTGATCCAGTAAAAACATTGCAAAATAGTATCACAATTTAAAATATATTTTATATCTATTTTAAATATCTTTACTGTTACTTTTGGTCAATTTAATGCATTATTGCTGAATAAAAGTATTCATTTATTAAATATATACTTTGTATATATGAAGAGTTCAGATGCAAAAGCCTCTAAATGCCATTTGAAATTTTCTTCTTTAATGATGATTTTTTATCAAACTTGTATATTTAAGTTCAGTAATTTCACTTAAATAACAATTAATAGGTAATTATCATTGCCATTTAAGTGAAATCACTGAACTTAAATATACAAGTTTGCTAAAAATCATCATTAAAGAAGAAAATTTCAAATGGCATTTAGAGGCTTTTGCATCTGAACTCTTCATATATATATATATATATATATATATATATACATATCTTGCTGACCTCACAAGTTTGAACAGTTAGTGTCTATATTTTATATTTAATTTTATAGGATTATATTTACAATTTTAAAAGATACAAAAATAGAAAATATACAATATATACAAATATATTACATATAGATTAATTAAACAAATACACATTAAAATGACATACCTGCAACCCTATCAGAACAGACCTTTGACCCATTTTTGTCACACCCCACCATATGAGAAACACTATTACAGGCCATGTGAGAGAATCTGGGTGTTTTTTTCATGCGATTCAATGTGGTTAAAAACTTTCAGTTTTGAATTCAGGTTTTGAAGCATACTTGTATATTGCAAGAGTCCTGTTTATGCATAAGTAGCAACATAACATGATAACCACCCCATTTTAAAAATCCATATGAAAATCTCGAGGGAACCAGCGGCGAATTAGTATTCTTCTGGGTTTTGACGTCATCCCTGCACAGATCTATTTAAGTTCCTGAGAGGAATCATTTATTATTGTTATAGTGGACAGCTCACTATAAATACATGGCTGGATGATTGACAACTCCTCAAATTCCCCCTGACTGTGTATCACTGCCAAGACCTCCGAGTCCGACTGTCTCACTGAAGAGTTTAGTTACCAAAGTAGAGTCCAACGGTGACACGTCCTTACATAACCCAGTCAAGCAATGAACAAAACCAGATCGGATCATCTGTTTGTGACATCACACACAGTGACAACCAAATATAGTAGCATTATGGGGGATCATCATGTTTGGAGGTCTTTGGCAACAAATGGTTTAAAGAACACTAGTACATCTCGCCTGTACATCTCATTTTGGTTTACTGTTGTGGTGCTTTTAGTAAAGCGTTACATTGCTGAAGATGGGACTTTTGAAAACAATGATTAAAATGACAGGAGTCAGCTTTTATGACAGAGACCAAAGTCATGGTGGCCATAAGGGATGGACATGGTGAGAAACAATGCTCGGGTAGGCTGTGGCATTTAAACGATGCCCGATTGTTACTAAGGGGCCTAAAGTGTGCCAAGAAAACATCCCCCACACCATCACACCACCACCACCAGCCTGCACAGTGGTAACAAGGCATGATGGGTCCAAGTTCTCATTCTGTTTACACCAATATATGAATATACGAATATACGAATATATGTCTAACGTTTTATTTTGTGCATTAGGAATTGATTTTATTCTGAACAGACCTGCGATACCCCATAACCCCATATTCGGGTTGTGACCCATCAGTTGAGCACCACTGCTCCTGATATTAGCATTGGCCATTAAAAAACCCATATCGATCAACCATGGGCAGAAATAGGAAAATATCACTGGTGTAAACAGTGCAAATGAAGTGGGACAGTATACAGATAAAGATTTCATTTCTGAACCACATTGACTCCCATGAAACATTCTCCAACACAGTGTCATGTTACAAAATCCCAAAGAGTATTTCTTTATATTTTTGGAATGTTCCAATCATGTGAAGTTATAAAAACCTTCTTTGTTCAGTAGCCAATCAGAAACGAGAAATAGCCTTTGGGTTCTACGCTAATGCTACACTACATCCAAAACACTGAGCTACACATATACCTCATTCAAATGTCCATCCTATCACAAAAGGCAAGCAAAAAATAGTGCACATAAAGTCAAAGTAAGGACAGATCACAACAGCATTGCTTTAAGACAAGATTCAGTTGATGTCATCTGATATAAGCACAACAGCTTCTTACATTTATTGCAAATCCATTGAAGACATTTAGCAATGCAATATTCATGAATACTTAAAGGACATGTTTTAATGTATCTAAAATGGCAAGACAAAGCATTACGAAGCTTGTTCTTCAGGGTTGAATAGCTGACCGTTTGCATTATGATGTCGGGTAAGGCTTACCTCTCTGTCTTCCTCTTCCCCAGGGGTAAACAAAAAACACTGTGATTTCTAAGAGAGAGAGAGAGAGAGAGAGAGAGAGAGAGAGAGAGAGAGAGAGAGAGAGAGAGAGAGAGAAAACATTATTCAGACAACTGTGAAATACAAATACATACATGTATGCATGAATACAAAAAAATACTTTTAAGTTCCAGCAAAAAAAATAAAAATAAAAAATAAAAAAAAATAATTTGCCCTCCAATTAAAGGGGAAATTTAGAAGAATTTTCATGTATTAATCACTTTTTTAGCCAATGTGTGAACAGTTTGTAACTAAACTTTAAAAGCGAGACCTTCCCTGACTTTGCCTTTGAAAGCCTGTTGACTGACTTTTTATGACTCGGGTCGCTTTTGCCGGGGAAATCAAAAGCATGTGACGTTTACTCGCGGTCGCAAGAACTATAAAAAAATTGCTTATACAATGTTTAGGATAATGCTGAAAGAGCTATTCTGTACTGAAATGTCAATGTGTCATCAAACAAAATTAATTAATTCAAACTAGTCTCACATAGCAAGATTTATCTAGTCTCAAATATACTTTATAATCAAACTATCATAATTTCAACCTCATCTGTCGACATGATGCTGGTGAACTGGTGCAAAACATCCATCAGAAGCTTTCTCCCCGCTGCCATTTTTGTGTTTTCATTTTGATATTGCGAGGAAAGTGCCTTTTTGCAGAACCTTGCAGTGAATATATAGAGGTATTGAATCAAGTTTAGTACGCTACGTGTGTGCGAATAGAACGTTTGTGGCTGCAGTTCACTTAACAGCCACAGGTGTCACTAATAACAAGCGACGTGTGTGAATTCCACATATAGCCCTTTTAAAAAACGAAAGTGGCATCTATTTAAATTATTTTATAAAAACATTATTCTGTGTGAACTATACAGTACATAAACAAAAAAGTTTGTAGGCCTAGTTGGTTAAAATTAACAGCAAGTTTGGTATGTTTAATGCAATGCAATGAAAATCTGACCTAAAGTGTAGAAAATGGCACATTTTTTGGGCAAACACTGTATGTGTGTCATGCAGTGTAAATGCATTTTGTAATTAAATGATAATATTAACTCATAACTAGGGCTGTCAAATGATTAATCGCGATTAATCGCATCCAAAATAAAAGTTTGTGTTTACATAATATATTTGGGTGCACTGTGTATAATTATTTTATATATAAATACATACACATGCTTGTATATATTTAAGAAATATTTTCATGTATTTACTGTATATAGATTTATGTATAATTTATATTATATATAAATGTAAATATTTTATATAGAAATAAAACTTTTTTCCCCTAAATATACATGCATGTGTGTGTATTTATTTATATACAAAATAATTATACACAGTGCACCCACATATATTATGTAAACACACACTTTTATTTTGGATCCGATTAATCGTTTGACAGCCCTACTCATAACCTCTTAATATGTATCACTGTCACATCAATTCTGTCCTTAAGTATGATTAGGGTGCTTAACTGAATGAACCTCTATGATACCGGCTCACAAAGCATCAGGATCAGCCTAAGAAATCTATTTGTGTTGCCTGAGGGCTAATCCAGCGGACGTCACACAAAGTTTTTCAACTCGTATGACTTTAAGACTGTTTGAAATGTACCTACTAACCCATCTCCTATACGGATCATTTGTTAAGAATTCAAAGCCCTCTTATATGTCTTTTTGAATCCTTTTGTTATGATTTTAGGAACACGATCTAAAAAGAAAGGACCAAATAAGGGTACATAACAGATATAGTTAATATATGGGAGTCAAATGGGTTAATTATGTAATACGTATAATAATTATGAGAATATATTGCTTGAAAGGACTGTTTTTAAGAGGGATAGAGGGAAGGTCTGCATCCCTGTTGACATTGGATGATGAGTATGAGTCTGACCACAACATTAGACCCCATCAGCTTTATTTGAGGCTGTTTTAATTGCTTTCCTAATGCCTGTCAGGACAACATGAACACATCCATTTACTGACTCCATAAGATACTAATTCTTTATTTGAATATGATATTTCACTTTAGATTACTTTAATATTCAATTATATTTTCCAGATAAACATCTATAAAGATAAAAGACACTTATTATTTTATTTCTGTCACTAGTGCAATTAGTACATCCAGACCAAAACATAATGTATGATCTGACTATGGAAGCTCCTAATCGATGGTGTTTTACATGACTGAGAATCTATTATTATATCATCCAAATGTCACAGCGCAGCAAACTCTCTCTCTCTCTCTCTCCATATATAATACAATTAGTATTGAACAAGAAACACTTTCCATAGGCGCAAAACAGACACTTCATTCTAGAACATAGAAATGCATCATCTCATAACAGTCCTGATTTACATATATCTGATGTTACGTTACCTCTTTATTATAGGTCTGTAAAGCTGTCAGTGCGGCGTCCTGGTCGCCCGTTTCCATCTTCTCTATGATGGCATTTAAGTCCATTTTCATCGCTGTTCCACCTTTCAGCTTTCAAGAAAAGCCAAAAATCATGTAAACAAAATCAGCTTCAATCCTCCTGCTTTATCCCAGCGATCCAGAAGCTCCTGGATGATGCGATTAAAGGAAGATTGCGAAGATCACTGCACGGAATCATGGGAGTTGTAGTGTGAAGCCTTCCACACAGGCAAGACCCTCACTGTTTGTTGTGGTTGGTGCGGCTGTATGAACGACGTCTCTACGGTCCAATCACAGACTGCGTGTAAGAGACAAACCAGCCAATCATGTTGCAGGAGGCGGGACTTGTTGGTTTACTTGCTGCTGAGGGAAAGACTATTTAAAATTCGTCCAAAACCAAAACTATAAACAAGTAGACAACTAAATAAATACATTTACATCGAGACTTAACCTTTTCATGCATGAAGTATGCCAACTTCAAGTAAATCAACATTATTCCATATGAGTTTGTTTTGCTCTTTGGGCGTTAAAAAGAAGTTCTGAACTTTGTTTTTCTTCTTCAATATTGTCGATACAAATGTTTCCCTTTTCTTTCCTCTTTCTAATTTGTCTTATTGTGTTATTGTATTTTACTTTATTTTATGTGATGCAGTGGCTGTATTTTTGAGCCCAAGACAAATACATTCTGGCACAACAAAATATAGCCTACCTCAGCATTAACCTTAATCTTGGTTTGGAGAAAAAAAAAAAAAAAAAAAAAAAATCCACATTCAACGGTTTGATGGCAGGGTAGAGGATGATGCACTAGTGTCCATTGTAGTGGTTATGTGCAACTGTGCTATCAAAACCCATGCATATGCAAGAAATAGCTTTTTGAATGGCTGTCCACTGTTGCCCCTATGCATGAAAGGGTAAAGACAGCTGCTAAATCTAGGGGTTACCGGTAAGGTACATTAAAGGTGCTTTAGGACATATTAACATTTAACACAAAAGAAAAATACATGAAAATGTGCAAAGGGTTGCATTTACCATAAATTAAAAATGTATCCCCAGTGGATGGTGTTTTCTTTGTAAATGAAATGAAAATAGCAAATTAATACAAATAGATGTAGCCTACTTTTCGACCATAAATATTTAAGGTCTATTTGTTTTTGAATTTACATTAACTGCTACAAAAAATAGTATAATTTCACAATCTGGCAGATATTATAACTATATGACTAATGTGTGATTCTTGTGCGTTTCTACACTGACCTCTAGTGGATGCAAATGGAACATTAGCGTAGCTCCCTTGATCTGACTGTCACTGTTACAAATAAAAAGTTAATGACTCTAAATGTGATTTTTTAGCATTGACAGTAAGTTAAGGAAACTAATTTAAGGGAATCAAGGCCATGCTTTCATCTTGACATAGCCAAATTAATCTGGTTTAACCACAACAAACCACTTCCTCATTAAAGCTTTAAGATAGCTGAACATCGACTTAGAGTGATTAATCGATTCATTCATATTTTCTCATTGGAGGAAGCGCCCACGGGTATTTTACGTGTGTGACATTGTTAATTGTGTTTCTGGGAATATTTCATTTGATGTAGCCTAACACTGACAGCATGATCTGACACTATGTCAGAATTTGGATTACAAGTTTAAATCACGTAGGCCTAATAAACAATGAAACCAGTTTGTTTTCTTCTTAAACACCATATGGCTTCTCTATAGCCTAAATGCTTGCATGCTTTCAGCAAAAGGTTGTATAAAAAGATTGACTGCAAAAACATATCCTCTGCCAGAGCTTAAAGGGATAGTTCACACAAAAATAAAAATTCTGTCATGTGTCATCATTGCTCTAAACCTGTATTAGTTTCATTTTTCTTCAGAACACAAAAGAAGATGTTAGTAACCAAACAGTTTCTGGTCCCTATTGACTTCCATAGTATTTTTTATATTTTGATGTGTGTTCACTTGCTTATATTCATAAAATAATACCAAAGTTTGAGATTGAGAAGAAGAAATGCAACATTTTATAAAATCTCATAAAAGCCCGACAATGAGGCTCCAGTTCTTTGCCATTTGTTAGAATTTTTTTGTGAAATAAAGGCATATTTGAGTCATCCTGACATAAATTGTCACTTTATATAACTGTTAAGTTAAATTACACTGCTTGCCACCTCAAATCTGCTGTGGACTGAAGCATAAAAAATATTTCACACATACTTCGCAGCCAATGTATTTTTATTCTTTTTGTTAAAAATATCTGAAGATGTACTGATGACTCGTATTAACAGATTACATTTATGTTCCATCGTATCAAGTTCAGCAAAGTGTGAATGCCAACCTTTGTGTGATTGTCTCATACATTTATGTGACTCACACTTAATATATAGGTGTTTGGTGTATTATGGTTACCGTCAAAACTCTGTTTGGGTGTCTACAGGTAGCTCAATAATAACAATACAAAATGGAAACATTTGGTCCACTCAATCTCAAAAGTCTTGAGAGATTTGGTTCACTCAAAGTCATAGTTTCAGTCGTATTATTGCTTTTCAGAACTTTACGTCACATTATTATCAGCCTTTCTGGAATGAAGAAATACCTTTGGTCGATTTAGGACTGTCGTTTTTGTTTCTGCTTATGTATAATAATTTTTTATTTTCCCAAAGATTCTGGACCAGGATATAAGTAGGCCTGGTTAATGAAGATATTTGCATGGTGGGTTATGCCTAGTACGCAGGGGAAACCCCTCTCAGTGGAATGAGGCTCTTACAGGAAACTACAGCTTCTCTGCACAGGTTTCACCTGTTAGGTGTGTAATCACTTGTCATCATGAATTAAATTAAACACACAATATGTTGAGTTCATACGTGAATGGGATGAGTTGTTGTCCACACAAAATATGCAACAAATGTATATGAATAAATGTTATTGATAGAAATATAAAGTATCCAAAAAGGTTAATTAAACAAGTGTGATACCGGATCTGGATCAGGAAGTATGCCTGAAAAGCATATCTGACAGTAAATATTGCATTTATTCATGCAATGGCGCTTTCCAATTTTACTGTAGATCTGCATCACTCATCCGGGTCTTAAAGGGATAGTTCACTTTGAAATAATTTTTTGATATGTTTTAGCTTACCTCAAAGGCATCCAAGATGTAGGTGTCTTTGTTTCCACAGTATTTTCAATTTTGGTATTTTTAGGTCAAACCGTTCTTGTCTGTCAGTCATATGGAGGTCTATGGGGTCCTCCTCAAAGAGCATGGATCAGTTGCAGAGGTTTGATTTGTTTGCCAGGAGAGCATTACATTAGTACAGTCTGGATAGAAAAAGCGCCTGGACAAGGAGTTGTCAATTTGTCAAGGAGAATCAATTGATTGATTGATTGAAGGAGTTGTGATAGGAAGGACCTGATCCTCCGACGCATTCTCATCCTAGGGCGTCATCTAACTGACGCTTTTGACAATGCGTCTAAATCCGACGCACATGGCACCCTTTCGCGTCAATATAACACGCTTCGGTTATGGGTAGGTTTAGGTCTGGGGTAGTGTTAGGGTTAGACCACTAGGAGGCGCCTTCTGGCCCATATATATCCGCGTCTCATTTGCTTGTGGCTGGGACCACAAGCAAATCTGTCTTCGCAAGGTTTAGTTGAAGGTGGTGGTCCTTCATCCAGCCAGACATGTCTGTCAGGCAGGCTGAGATGTGAGCAACAACCGTCGGATCATCTGGCTGGAATGAGAGAGTTGTGTGTCAGTAGGGTAGCATGCAGTGATAGGAAAAGCCATGTTTCTGAATCACAGATCCTAGTCAGAACAGAAGCAGAAGTTGTCCAAACGGGATGTTAAAGTGGAGAAAAGAGTTGCACTGTTAGTATAGTGTTGAGAGCTGATCATGTGGAGGGAGTGTGGATGAAACCAATGAGGATTGGCGAGAGTGAGCATGGTTTCGACAAAGGTGACCTGTTGAGTTTGTGTTGTGTTCTGAGGGAGATTGAGGTTGAGAGTGAGAAGGAAGTGATCTGAGGTGTGCAGGGGAATGACCAGCATATGGTCAGAGCAGTAGTGTGTGTAAATAAGGTCTAAAGTATTTAAAGAGACAGCTACAATTTTTTTTAACTTTGTCCTAATTTACTCACCACGTTAGAAACATTTATGACTTTGAAGAAGTTTACACTATAAAGACAAATATGCGGCTGGTTGTTTTCTTTCATGCAGTTAATAAAGGGATAGTTCACTTTGCAATTAAATTTTGGTATGTTTTAGCTTACTTCAAGGGCCTTGAGGTAAGTTAAAACATACCAAAAATTAATTTTAAAGTTAACTATCCCTTTATTAACTGCATGAAGGGCATCCAAAATGTATGTGTCTTTGTTTCCACAGTATTTTCAATTTTGATATTTTTAGGTCGAACCGTTCTTGTCTGTCAGTCATACAATGCAGGTCTATGGTCACCACCTCAAAGAGCATGCACAGGAAAGTCCAAATTAAACATGATTTAATGACTCGTAAATGAATAAAAGACACGAAACGAGCGGTTTGTGTGAGAAAACGAACAATATTTATATAGTTTTTTTATCAAACAAAATAAATACTGTTTGTTTTCTCACACAAACCGCTCGTTTTGTGTCTTAGGCCATTGATCTGTACTTTTATTCATTTACGAGTCACTTAATCATGTTTAATTTGGACTTCTCTGTGCATGCTCTTTGAGGTGGTGACCATAGACTTCAATTATATGAATGACAGACAAGAACGGTTTGACCTAAAAACATCAAAATTGAAACTACTGCCGAAACAAAGACACCTACATCTTGGATGCCCTTGAGGTAAGCTAAAATATACCCAAAAATGTATTTCAAAGTGAAGTATCCCTTTAAAACGGATGAAAAACCTTCAAAGAGTAAGATTTACGAGCTATATTCAATATAGTCATATCAAACGACAGATTATTGTGAGGGGAAGCTACGAGATAAGATGGATCCAGACTACACACAGAACAAACACAAAGCCTCCCCTGATCCAAAATCAGCTGATAGAGTCCCATCTGCTGCCACTGTCTTTACAACTGTTGTTATCTGCCATCACTTCCTTGTTCTGAATGTTGCATCTGATGATCAACCTGCTTTAAATATTGAACCGTCTGAGTAAAACACACATGGCGCAGTCAAATAGGTACATAATCAGTGTAGTGTCAAGTTCAAGCATGTAAAACAGAATGC